TATACTTCATATTAATAAAACATTAGTGGTTTATTTCTTGATTATTTAATTTTACTCCCATCCGTTTGTTCAGTGCTTCGAGGAAACGACGAAGGATTATTACGAATAAACTAACAACCACAACGTAGGGTTATCTTATTTTAAAAAGGGTCCAAAACTACGCCGATCACACGTCATGAGCAATTCTCCCGCTCAAATTTGAATTTTTCTAGAGCATTTTGAAATGCCGCCATTGAATACAAACTGTAAGGTGAGACATTGTTAAACAGTAAAAAAAAACTCTACACAAAAAAATAGTCGTATGAATCAGCAGAAATACGTCATGATATTAAAATTTTGATCTAATTTTTGTAATTTTTTTATCAAAGTTAACTCTAAAACTATTGTGTAAACGTCTCCAAATACCATTTTGTACAACCCTGAAAACCTGTGGTAAATTTTATTCTATTTTCTTGTAAGCGGGTCCTTTTTCAAGGACAGATTCTTGCGTATGACGTTTTTTACTGGCGATTAACAATTTGATATAAATTTTAACTAATTTAACATTTTTAAAAATCATGTTAAAGTAACATTCCAGGAGTTAGGATTGTTTGAGTAATGCGTTATTTATTAATCTCTACGAGTACCTACTAAATAATTCTACATTTGGTCTTCAATACTTATAACATATGTTTTAATAAAATTCAGGAATTGAAAAAGGGTCGTTCATTTAAAAAGCAATTATTTTTTATAAAGTAGGTAATACAAGTCTCAAGAATATAATACTATACTGGTAGTATCGACACATAAATCTAAAACAAACTTCAGATCTCAGTTTGGCAAAGTGTATTGAGGTCTTAAATCGTGTTGAGATTAACTTAAAAATTTAACAATTTTGACAATGCAAACTGAATGTCAAGTTCAATCGAATTCGTTTAATTCTGAGTGAGAATATTATACAAAGTAACTTATTACTACACAAACACAGCCAATCAAAAATAATTTATAAAAAACGTGCACATATTAAATTGTGATACTTTCAATTTCCAAAATTTCAAGACCTGGTAACAATAATCGTTTTTTGCAACGTAACAGTAAGTCTAATTTAATCTCAAATCAAACCTTGAAAATACGTTAGCACGAATGGACCTTTATTGTGGTAAAACCTGAAATCACTTCCGACTCTACCGGATACAGAGTGAAGGACACGTGACACTTAATGATATTTCTGATTTGGTTCTATTCTTTGACGACTGGAAGGTCTGTAGAACTAGGCAGGGACTCACCCTTTTACGATGTCAAATAACAAAATCATTGTTTTCTTCATGCAAGAGTCGTCATCGTTTTGTTGCGGTTACGGTATTATTGCATATGACATAATTTAGGCAGGTCTAGGTCTCCAAGGGACCTGGAGATTTCAATCATTCCACAAAAAATACTGCTCAAATATTTTATCTACTATTTGTTTTTGTTTTCGCAGTTATACATATACTGTGGTAAATTGTATCTATCCCTTGAGACTGTGAAACCCATGGCCGTTAATTTACTATTATACAATGAGGCAGCTTTGTTTCTAATTTCAATTTGATATCATTTCATATTTCCTGACATGTCCTTCAGGCAGGTTTCTCCATTTCCGATCCAAGGCAGGCACAAAAGTTCCACTAATCGATCTTCGACCGTCTATGTTTAATTTTAGACTATTTACATAGTATCTGCATGAATTAGACATGAACGGTTGAGAATTTCCCTTCTTATACTTACATTAAGTATTATTTTTAATAAGAATTTTTCAATAACCGTGAATATTTGGTTAATATTCCGTCCAATACTCATAATAATAACAATAATAGTCAATTAATGCGAACGTGATGGTTGGTACGTGCACCCGCACATTAACCATGCAAATCATTTTAGTGTTTGGTTGTCAATGATGGGAAGAAACTGAGATACCACCAGCTGTGTTCACTGGTCGAAATACACAGTAAACACAGGGTGGTCCCCAGCACCGTCCCACCCTAATCAGATTCGCTCTTCTCTCCTCGGTTATTCGACAATTTCAAGATGTCAATGAAGTCATTCATGTCATTTTTTCGCATCCGTTCAAATTCTACATCGCGAGATTCAAAAACAACTTTTTTTAATTCTGATTCATGCCCACAATTTGCAATTTCAGTATCGAAAACAAAGAACGCTAACTTATGTAAATTTATATAGCACTATAAAATATGTCTTGTAATATGAGTGTTTGATCGGGATGTGAAAAAAACTAGGAGCGGCATCCTTCACAACAAATTCTATCGATATTTAAAAGTTCACTGGCCAATTTGGTGACTTTTTTTGGCTTCGGCACTTCAGGCCAAGGTCGCGGTATTTTCGTTTTCATTATAATAACTCTTTTGAGCGGCTGGGGATCAATTCGGCAATGTATAAAACAATTTTTCAAAAGTCAAAACTCTCAAAGACTTTTGATCGATCAAATGAATGAGTAGATATAAAATGAAAATAAATATACATATAATAATAATGTTTTATCTCATGGCTACTGTGTAAACAACCAAATGAGTTTTTAAAACATAAATTCTTATTCTTATAAAGAATCTCTAGATATATCATAAAACATTTCTAAACGCTTTTCAAAAAGAAAGTGATTAAATTGTTAATAGATAGTTTATTTTAAATGTCCACGTCAAAATAGTAATCGACTAATCTGTTGTATCCGTTTAATAAATGAGCCAGTAGACACTCCCAAAATTTTATTGTGTTCGGGCTGTTTCTCAATTCAAATAAATCACATTAATTTTTTATTTTTGATTTTTTGATGCATACTAAAAATGAAAAATAGTGTATAACATAAAATTTAAAAGTGTGAAATTTTCACAAAAAAAAACAGAAATACATACATAATAATAACTTAAGATAAAATAAAATTCTTAAATATGTCTCGTGCCATAGCTATCGCCACTTCTGTCATTCTTCACAATGTTATTTCTGTATGAAATCGTGGAACCTTCTGTCTCAAAATTTGTCAATAGGGTTCTGTTGTAACACAGATTCTTTTTTTACGCAGAAATCCAATGTTTCTTACCTATTTCACTTCAAAAAACGCAGTTGCGACGTTGGCAGTATGGTGACAGCAATGGCAGGAGGTATATCTTGTGCCATAGCTATCGCCACACTGGCAACGTAAAATAGGTGAAATAGGTCATAAACATTTGATTTCTATGTAAAAAAAAACCTGTGTTATAACAGAACCCTACTGACAAATTTTGAGCCAGAAGGTTCCACTATTTCATACAGGAAAAACATTGACAGAAACAAATTAATTGCAACTACAGCACTTTGATAAAAATGATACTCTTATTTTGTCACCATACGACTATCAATAAACTCGGTCAAGATAACGACCCCCACCTCACAAGTGCGTTAAGGGCTATAGAATATCTCCGCCCTGTTTTGATGCCGTACGGTTTTTTGCAGAGCGATTTTTAATTTTCCCAGAATTTTTGCTGAAAACGCATTCCTGCGAATGGTACTTATACACTTGATTAAAATAATATTTTGTATTTTTACCAAGCACTTGCTGAAAAGCTCCACCTCGTTTACGATCTCATCGGCCAGAATCATTTAAATAGCCTTTAGCCATCGTAGATTCAGTTATAATTATGTTTTCATCTAACCATCTACGAAATGTGTATGCTTGAAGAAACATGGCAAAGTGCAAAGTAGGTTTAAAAGTTAAATGCATTATTATGTAGTTATGCATCTTTCTTATTTTATCTCCTGCAATACATAGGTACATACATATTTACCATCTAGATCAACTTCTAATCAAAACATCATCCCATTGCATGAAAACTGTTACCAGGTTTTTAAAATCAGTGCACAAATTATTGTTTTTACGTTTGTATAAATTTAATGTAAGTCAAAATAAAAAGAATGCACTGGTAATTCATAAAGACCTATAAATTATGAATGCAACAACATAATAATATAATGCAAAAGCTTCTAAGTAATTACTGAAGTTTTGTGTTTTTTTTTTCATTTTAGATATCTGTTCCTTTAATCATCAGCATCACTGATGATGTCCCAATAACTTTTATGCTGTCATTAGTGACATACATATTTGGTGTTTCAATTAGGAATTTTTAGTTTTGTGGTGTTGAAGCAACATTTCTTATTATGAGTATACCTATTACAAAAGATTTGCTAGAATCTAAGGTATAAAATACGATTTTTTGATGCAGCCACTGCAAGCCACGTTTCTGACAAATATTGGTCTATTTAAAAAAAAAAAAAAGAACAGAAGCCATCTGTCAATAACTGTGATAGTTGAAAGAAACAAATAAAGTCAATCATGTGATCAATTAAAAGATTAACTTTTGTTAAACTATATGCAATATTTAATAATAATACAAAATTATTTGCTTTTATAGTACGTTAGTAGTATATGTTATTTACTTGCTACTAATCCTAGTTACAAACACCTTCAGGAAGGAAAGAAAACTTACACATAGAAAAATTATGTCTTAAGACGAATATGAATACTGAAACATGGATGTTTTTCATTTCGGTAAAAACAATGAACCAAAGTAAGTAAAGGGAAGATAAAAATCATAATAAAGATAAATCAAGCCCATTATTAAATATATATTGCACCCATAAAAATAAATAGCTGTAGCTCACTTATCAGGAAAATCACTATAATATAATGCAGCTCAATATAACGTTTAATATGAGTGGACGTCGTACAATCTCGTATTTCCCTTTTAGTGGTGTAACGACCGATATAAAGGCAGTACAACAGCGCATTAAAATGCAAATTTCAAATAGAGGAAACGCGATAAATTCAATGCGGGTTGTAATTTAATGTTTATACTTACAGTCTGCTCGATGGTTCCACTGCTGCTTCGTCACCCTCGATACGGTAAACTTTTCCAGACATGACATACTCAAAGCTGTCAGCACGCGAACCTTCTGTTTCTAAACCCTGAGGGTTCCAATCGCCACTATCAGGATAACCATCCTCTCGAAGAGTTGTTGCCAAAACCAATCGAAATTTATCACCTATAAAAAAATTCAAGAGTCAAAAGCCATTTCTAGAAGAAATAAAGTAGACAAAGTGCCTGGGTTCTCCTTAGTATTCAATATAATTCAAAGTTATATTTTGTGTTGTTAAAAAATAATTATATGTTTAAAGTTTCTTCTACTGAAGTAACATTATATCTTTCAAAATGGAAAGCAAAAAACTTTGAAAAAATTAAATAACAGAATTGAATCCGTCCAAGCGAGAAAAGCGAGAAATATAATATTCAATAAAAGTCAAATGCTCCCGGCAAAGGTTTCGTATCGATCATTGTTAAAAGTGACAGTCAACAATTTTTATCAAATTCGAAACTTTTATTTTTCTTGGTCCGTTCATTTTACTCAATAATCAAGTTCGATTCGTTGAGGCCAATCTTCCAACAAATCACAAATAAATTGTCAGCAACTACTGAAGTTGAAATTGCGAGGGAAAACCCTAATGTTCAATTTCATGAACTAAATTACCAGAAGAGAGCTCTGTTAATAATTCCGCGACGTAACGCTAGCTTGAAATTGAGTTTATTTTGAGGTTGCTCCCGGAAAAACAAGCTTTGAACTTTCTCTCTCAAACAAAATATTAATTTTAAATTAAAATGTTTTCAAACAAAATGAAAATACGTGGAAATATGGTGGAACATCATAACCTATAATGGCAAAACTTAAAAAAATTACTTTTTCAACAAAAGGATAAAAAAAATGTAATTTATTTTGGAAAATGTAATATCCTTCCTATACAGGCCACATAGAAATAGTGGATTACATACCCAGGTGGGAGATGCTTCATGACCAAAGCCGCGGCTACCAAAAAGCCGAGGTACGATGAAGCAACGACCATCAAGATTTGCATACATACTATTTTATTCACAATCATTCTCAAAGAACAGAAAACAAATAAAAAAAAAACAAAATTTGACAATGCATTTTACGTTTTTATTAAGTAGGAGTAGGAGATAAACAAAAAATTCTTTTGTGAAAAGACATTAGGACAAAGTAACATTTCGTGGTTTGTTTGTTCCTTGGCTATATCTGTAGGGATATTAGTATAGTGACAGTGAAATGGAATGTTCTCCTATTGAACTCAGGGAAGTTGTTGAACGAGCAACAGAAAATTTAAAAAGATAGGTTAGGAAACGGCTACTTCGCAACCCGAAAACTGGTAAGGAAGTGACCACTTCCTAACTTGAACTTTCGTGTCAATTGTTGAAATATACTTTCGAACTTTTCGCACGCAAGGTAGATTATTACCTTATGATTGTGAATGAAATATTAAAAATCTACATTTGTACGCCACTACGTAAGGTAATAAAAATTATAACTTAAATAAGCTTATATGTATGTAAAAGCGTTTAAAAGGGATTACATTCAGATGAAAAAAACACACTGCATAAATTGATTTTCGGAATTTAAGTCGGTGCACGGTTAAGAATAAACTCGTTTTTCTCGAAAAATTAGCCAAAAATCCGAATCTAAATAAAATTGAAAAAATCTGTTTTAAAGCAAAATTTAAACCTCAGTGCCTCCGCACCCCTAATTAAGGTACACAATTTTCGATATCATCAATAGATTCAAATTTTGACTTTGGGAACCATCCCCCAAAATCTTTCAACGTTTTTTCCAGACCCTCCGTAAATGTAGAATTTAAAAAAAAAAAAAAACATCAAACATGTAAGTAAACAACTATAATTATGTTAAGGCTAAAAGTGAATAAACATAATTCTTACTGTGGAAAGATATAATGGGTGAGCAACGAAATTGTTTCAGAGTTGGCAATGGAAGAGAGAGATAGACATACTCTTTTTCATATTAATGTGCATCAAGTAGGTTGTAGAAGTCTAAATGCATCTTTAATTTAAAGGCTGATTTACACAAAAAGTGTCATTAATGTCATTCTGAACAAATTTAATCACATCAAATAATAACAAAAATTGTCATGTTTGGTACTCTATGTTAATTGTGTTGTTTATTTTAATTATTTTTTACTACCTGGAGCTTACATTTATTAAAAAAATAATTTTTAGGGAAGATTGAGGTTAGGATTGTTTGAATGTTTGCATGGGTGCTACCTTAAAATGATCCCTTTCAACGACTACTTCGATGCACATTAATTTGAAAACGAGTATATGTATGTATAAGTTACGTGTAATTGTAATCCTTTAAAATAGTTCATTTCAACTGTCACTGTTTGACACACGTTGAAAGCATTACTTTTCTGTGGTAATTCTTTAAAGATCGCATCGTTAGTATAAATACAGAGACAATTCAGCCTCCCAAGTCATGCGATATCACTCCATGTGACTTTTTCTTATAGCCACATTTGAAAATCACAATTTTCAAAACTCCTGTTGATGATCTAATGCTCGGTTTCTGGAATGATTTAGCATTAGGTAAATTTTATCGGTTCGACAGTTACTAAGGTAGCGCTGATCTGATTGGTGTTTCAATAACAATTATGGAACCGATAAAATTTATCTAATGATAAATCGTTTCAGAAACTGACCCTAAGTCATTTACAATAACAAGTTATTAACACAACTGAAGAAATTACGAGACATAATCTAAATTTAACATATCGGGGAGAGTAGATTGCTTAAAAGTAGGTACTCTCACTACGGGCTAGTTCTACTACTCAAAACTAATAGAAGACATACGTGAGAACTTCCAAGGCCCTCCCTGAATCAAAATTCCGTTGCTCACATGAAGGTACAGTTTATTTTTTATTTGCCTGGTGGGAGTAGTGCGAATCAAGAACACGACATGACCTCCGTCTGTTTTTGACATTTGACAGCTTCTTCTGACATTTTGGTACTAAAGTCAAAAATTAAAGCTTCTCTCTGGTATTAGGATTTTTATTTTCTTTATTATAGGGCTTGAATTACGATTGTTATGATTATATGGTAGTTTTCCCCATTAAAAATAAAATTACAAATGACCTACATGCCAGTAAAACACACTTTGACGTACGTCACTAGCTCTGCGTTACTTAAATAGCATTTGTTAAAGTGAGATAAATAGCGTGACCAACCTTACGCAAAGACGTAGCGAGAGAGCAACAAGTGCGTTTTTCGAAGTTTAATTGATCCACACGCAAAAAATAAAAAATCGGACTTTATATGTACAGGGTGCTGCATTTTGTATGTCCGTATACGGAATCTCCGAAACTAAGAGGTTTAGCCAAAAACGAGTAATACATTCTGGGGCTCATTTTTTGAGAAAATAATATTGGTTAAAACCGCATCCCGCTATCGTCTTTTGTTTTCGACTTACAGACAAAAGTTGACATTTTGGCGAAATCTAAAAAAAATTATATCTTTGTTATTATAGAAGATATGGATTTGGAATAAAGACATTATACAGGCACTTTTTTACGAGGAATTTAATAATGTAGCTAACAATTTTTTTTCAGTTATTAGTTTAGCCGTAATAAGATAAACTTGTATTTTTTTAAATGGAAATCATAGGCGGCTATAGAAATTTTGAAAAGCTTATTTTTTTCTGCTCTTTTCTGATCAAAATATATTTTTATAACTATACTTAAAAAGTGAAATACATATTTTGTGTGATAATAGTTGGCCATGGAAAAACTATTTTACTCCAAATGTGTAAATAGTAATCAATAAGAGTTTTGTGAACTGTAAAATCGATGAAAAAATATATAAAATTATGAAGATTTAAAAAATACCATACGGTAGAAGCATTGAACAAATATCCGAGCGCCTCAGAACATATTTTTATAAAATCCAAAAATATGAAAAACAAATGTGTCAACAGTCAACACAATTAGAAAAAACATTGTTTGATGATCTAATGGAGGTAGGATAACGTTTCACATAGACGGAATTTGGGTATTTGAATAGCCATATCGTCATTTTTGTGTCATAAAATATATTTTATTGAAGAATTAAAGCGGCTTTTTTTACAACACTCTATGTATCACTAGAATTTGCAATGATAATGTTAGCTTGTTTAAAAACAAAGAAATGTTATTAGTCGCCAATAAGTTTATTTACAATTTATTTTGCATCTTTTCCATTACTAAGTACTTAGAAAACTCTTTCATTAGTGACACTGGTTGAATATAATATAGTTTAAATCCTTTTGGTTGAAGATGCAACATTTTTTCATGGCCAACTGCGAACAAAAATCAAAGATAATTTTTTGCTAAAAATGTATTATAATAATTTGTTACAAATATATATTTTTTAGATAAGAAAAAAACAAGCTTTTTAAAAATAACATAGCCATCTATGATTCCCATTAAAAAAAATACAAGTTTATTTTATTACGGCTAAACAAACAACTGAAAAAAATTGTTAACTACATTATTAAATTCTACGTAAAAAAGTGCCTGTATAATGTCTTTATTTCAAATCTGTGTCTTCTATAATAACGAAGATATGAATTTTTTTAGATTTCGCTAAAATGTCAATTTTTGTCTATAAGTCGAAAACAAAAGACGATAGCGGGATGCGGTTTTAACCAATATTATTTTCTCAAAAAATGAGCCCCAGAATGTATTACTCGTTTTTGGCTAAACCTCTTAGTTTCGGAGATTCCCTATTCGGACATCCAAAATGCAGCACCGTGTACAGTTTTATTTTCATTTTCACTTTTAAAAGCGCACAAATAATAGTTATTTATTGTAAGAGTGAGTTAGGTAGCGTTTTATCCACACAAGGATGTTTAACCGCGAGAACGTCAGTTCGAGCGGTTAATTTTCTTAAGTAGATAAAACGCGACTAACACACGACTGCAATATAACGTTTTATCCACAATCACAGGCCCAAATTATTCCAAACTTAATTAAAAATTAAACCGACATTTAAACGTCACGCCAAATGTGCTTTCGGTTAAACGTAGTAAGCTGTTAGGCGGTGCGCTGGTTACTAACAGTGGAATAAAGTTACTTTAATGGATAAAGTGGTACTTTACACGCATCTAAAGTGTCTTCGTTTTAGTGTTTTTCAAAACCTCTTCAAAATACA